AAACACCAGCATGATGTACAGCATGGTGACTGCGGACCGCTTGAAGCTGCTGATGTTCATTCCGGGCGGAGTAAGGTGCATTTGATCTCTGGTCTTATTCTGGAGGTGTCGAATCTGGAGGTAAATCTTTAGGTACGCGAACATTGTGATGGTTATACACGACACGTCCATGATAACGATGATTAGGACAAGAGTCTTGTACCGGGCGCCCAGAAAGTGCGCAATGATCAGAGCCGAGCAAAGGATCCAGAAACAAACCGCCACAAGCAAAATCCGAGGAATGGTAACCAATTCCTTGTATCGCAAGTGTAGTTCTATAGCGAGAAGTCTCTCGACTGCAATGGCCGATATGACCAGGAAGGAAACTCCCGCGCAAATCCAAGATAGCGAGCCGGATGTCATGATCTTGGTGATGCAAAAAGATCGAACGTTTCTTTGTATTTCGAAGACCATTTGCAGAGCATAAGTCGGTTGAACGACGAGGCCGACTAGCAAATCCGCGAACGCCAGGCAACAGAGAAGAGTGTTCGACGGAGTTCGGAGCGTCGGCGTTCTCGACACGGCCAGGAGAATTAACATGTTGCCGATTATTGCTGTCAGAGCTGTTAGCAAGTTTAGCACAGCCACGATCACGTTGCTGACGAGTGACTCCTTTGCAGCGATCCATTCCTCTTCCAAGTGAAGGCAGTTGATTTTGGTTACAAGCGATTTCACGGATGGAGCAATGGCGGTGGAGTTGTCCATGTTTAAGTGCTTTGCTTGTTTGGCGTCCAACGTCTTGTACAGAGGCAATCGCTGAAATCGTCCCGTAAATCAAGCGAAGGATGACTTGAACCACGTAGCCCTGTGTGTACAGATAACTATCAGCAAAATGCAATGGGTTTGAAACAATACCTGTGCCCTGCACCATAAATGAGACTCAGACTTAATAAAAATCCCATTATGAAGAATCGATAAAGGATGTTTGTTTGACTTCTCCTGTCATCAAATGATGTTGAAACTTTCACGCTAGTCACGTTTGATCGACAGTATATGCTAATACCTATTGCATAAATGTCCGCTTACCAATTCCCCAAGGTGTACTGGTGTAATGCTTGATTAAATTTCTTTCATTCGTCCCCACGTTTTTGGCTCTTATAGTAATAGTGATCAAGGGAAATGAGTTATTATTGTCGGAGTAGTTGAGAAAAATGTCAATGGGACAGTTGGTTTGCTTTGTTTTCGAGTTTTGGACGTTTCGTTTTTGATTTTTTGGGGTGCTTCGTTTTCGCCTTCTGGGTTTGTGTTTCTGTTTTTTTTTGTTTTTAGTGTTTTGTTTTCGATACTTAGGTTGATTGTCTGAAACTAACTACGAGTTCAATCCATGGTCTCTTGTATTAAGCCGAACCCCTTCAAGTTTTTATTTTTGCGTGTTGAGAATATTGAAACGTGAAAAAAAAATGTACATAGGCGAATCTTAGCGTCAATGGAGTCGAAATGACTTCCGCTATTTGTTCTGGCTGTCACCGGCTTTTCTTAGCGAGCAAACAATGATGTTACTCCAAGGCAGTAATGATATCATAGTGCTAATCAAGTCGACAGTAAAAACTAGGCTGTTTCAACAGAATGTCACTCGCTGATATGGCCTATTCTTAGTAATTGTCTTTTGTGATGCACCTGGTGTTATTGAGTTCCTCATTTGTCATTTATCTTGCCACAACGAGCCATAGTCAATTTTGTTTAAAGGTGAAAGTGATTTACTTTTTTTTCGTTTTTAAGTGCGGGGAAACCTTTTAATGTCAAGGCGCGGGCGGCACGTGTACAGCGTGCCGTAATTAAAGTTTTTCATTACAATATTGATTTCCTTTGTCGTCAATTTGCTGTGTGTGGTGTAAAACGCAGTTTTTTGGCAGAAAATTGTCATCGACGGAGCACTGTTCAAGTCATGTTTCGTCAAATACTTTGCAGAAAGATGCAGGACTCTGTCACAGCCATCTTTTTTATGATTTTCTTTGCATTTATGAGTGCTGGTTTAGTGTCCCGAGTGAGCCTCGGGAAACAAAATATTGTAAATGTTATTTGCGTAACGGCATAAAATCATATTGAAAGGCAACAGAAAAAAGAGAATTGTGCATTATTTGTTTTTAAACTGGCTCCACCAAGAGAATTACTGTACCTGCGTGTTTTTCTCGTTGTGTTTGTTAATTTTATATCGTGGAACAATCTAATTCATTTCATGTTCTGGAATATTATCGACCTCAAAGTCCTCAAAAAGCTATAAGTAATAGTAGCAGCTGGTTGCGTGAATTGTCAGATCAATTTAGGAACACTTTCACGGGGTTTTGTTTTTGCCTTAAGGCTAAATGTAAATACAGAAGTGTTCTCTCAATTAAGGGATTTGAAATCTAACTAAATGATGAAAAGTAGTGAATGTAATAAGAGATTTCGACTACACTGTGGCCGGCAAACGTGAAGATGAGTTTTTTTTCAGGTTTTTCCTTAATTTGAAATTTCTTAAATGGCGATCACAATACCGCGAAGAGGAGTTCTTAACTTTATATTTTATTCGCACCTTATTAAATGTTTCCATTCATAAAACTTACAAGTGTGTTCAAATTAATTCCATTTCCTTTCTAGTCATCGTTACCGATCTCTTTCTTATGGCTTCCTGTTATCGACTGAGCACTTATCTGCAAAATAAAACCAGTATAGTTGGGTTTGTTACTATCTAGCAGGGGGAGGGGCATCCCGATAAATGTTTGATGTGGGAGCAGCTCGTTTCTTTAAACGCGTACCTTATTACAGTCCAGAAATATTTGATTTTTGTCAGCAGATATGACACTAAGGTCGATATCCTATTTCAGACCTCTAAAATTGTGCATTTCTGCTAAGCTTATATATATTGTCAGCTACTGCTAACCAGGAATGTTTTAAAAACATTCTATTTGTGTTAACCGTTCAAAAGGACTTCAAATTCGTCGATTTTATTGAAAAAAAAAATTCACCTAGACTACATATCGAATTCCAGACCAGAGTACAGAACATACCCTTATTCAGACCAGAACATCTCAAAATCCAGATCATTTGGCGCTGCACATACCTATCCAGCTTATGTAACGGAGTATACCCATCACTTCCCCGGGGTACTCAGGTAGTACGTGATATTGAGCTTGTGGAGATCTAAGCAACCAAATGCTGCTCAAATATTGGCTGTGTTATTATTGCACTACCTCTGTTGTGTTTCTTGTTTTATAAGATGAAGTGTTGTTAGCTTTTTTTGCTATTTTATTTTGGTAGGTATGCGTGATCAATTTAGTCGACTGTTAGAGGACTCAGGCTTAGTTCCCAGCACCAACAGTGGTGGCGCGGTGAATAATTTCTCTGGGAACATGGAACTGGTAAAGGTGAGAAATGCCCACTACGCGTATAGTTTTAGAAGGTTTCTAGCCTATTACAAAATGGCTTTGTTTTTCAGTTTTTCAGTTCTTCAAAAAACAGATAAACAAACAAACAATCAAAATGCCAAAGACTTAAATTATTTATTTAATATAGTGGTAGAACCTAGAACCCACATTTAGCCAATTCCTTTCTGCAACTCTTCCGGAACGGCGGCCACCTATTCTCCTCACGGTCATGATTGGGACATCACGCAACGGTTTTTCCGACATCTCTACGAAAATATACCAATATGCCAATCTTTTTACATTTCTTTGTACATTACGCCCAAGCAATGTATATACGTTCTATGGCATGGCCATAATCACTAATTTGTTGCGCAACTTAAAGTTCTGAGCGATTGATTAAGTTGCGTGCAGATTTTCCAATTTCTCGACTACGTTCAAGTGTGAGAGTTTACTTAAGAAGCGCCTTGAGAGAAAGGCGGTTCTGCGACAGAATTAATAGCTTGAAAAACTAATTACAAATTTATAACTGAATTAAAAAGGGAATTGTTTTGACAAGTTAATGGACAAACTACACAAACGCTGGTTGGTATTACATACGTTTTGTTTACATAGATTTAATGTAGTACGAAGCTAGGTAGATAAAGCTTTTTCATTTGTCAACAGAATCGGCAAAACATCGTGTTATTACCGTGGTTGACTCATTTGGTATAACAACTTTTATTGTTAAGGTGACAAAAATACCCAGTTTAAAATGCAGAAGTCTCTCTATACATCATGCGGTAGTGGTTTGTTGTTTGTATCTCGTCTAACGTGGAGCGCTGAATGACTTTCTTACGTTGTTAACACTCAGTTTAGACTGCTGGAAAATCATTGTTAATGAAGTTAAAAGTTAAAAATTAAAATATCCTCCGGTTTTTTATTACCTCCACTTTGGTGATGATGTCACATGTATAATAGCAAGCTTTTGTTATTTTCTCCAGGCCATTCTGTGCGCTGGTCTGTTTCCTAATGCTGTCAAAGTCGGCCTTGGCTTGGAGTCGAAAGGGCGGGGTGGAAAGAAGCGAGTTAGGGTGGCTTTTCGAACCAAGTAAGTAAGGTAGCATGTGCGTTTCTCCACCTCACGCGTGGAAAAGTAAAAATAATGGAGTGTTAGTGAATGTGGTTGAGGAAGGTCAGGTTTCACGACTTTTGTAAAACATGACCGAAACCAGTGAAATCACCTTAAGCCAATCCTCAAAAACGCAGATAACAGAATGAAACGGTCAGATCCCAAACGACTTAAAGGAAAAAGTTGCGACTGGTGCTAATGGCGGGAAAACGTACAACCTGTGCCAAGCGCGGGAAAACATATAACCTGCACCCAGCGCGGGAAAACATTCAACCTGTGCCTTGCGCGGGAAAACATACAACCTCTACCTTGCGAGGGAAAACACACACCTATGCTTTGCGCGGGAAAACATACAACCTGTGCTAAGCGCGCTCGGGAGAACATACAACCTGTCGCAAGTGTGTGAAAACACTTCCTGTACCAACCGCTTAAAAACGCTTGTAAGCCTTGCGTAAATCACGCTATGCTTGGTTTAGTTTGGGTCAAAAATAAACTTAGTAGCCAGAACGCGTATGAGCTCACATGCTTTTTTTTAGTTTAACTACTTGATCTGTCTTGTATCATCTGGAGTGAAAGTCGTCACTGTTGTTGTTCTTGTAAGTGGTGTTGTTGTTGTAACTGTTGTTGGGCTGTTGTTCTTGTTCGACGCTTCTCCCTTTGTTTATCTTTGCAGATCTGATGGACGAGTGGCTTTGCATCCGTCCTCAGTGAACTCTGACGAGAAACAGTTTATCAGTCAGTGGCTTGTGTATCACGACAAGGTGATAAGAATTCTTTCAATATACATCGTAGGACATGTTTCTAGAAATAAGAATACAGCAGCCACTCCGAAAATTTTAAATTGCGCGCGTCTATACATAACCTGATGTAATTCGAGGGAAGTCATTCGAAACTACGAAATTTAATGCATTTTGTACTTTTTCTCATCTCGTCAAGCTGGTAGCAGAAAAAAGGCAGTGGGAAAAATGGCCGGGCGAAAGTTTGTGACGAGGAGCGCAAATCTCGTCCCCAGGGCACCTTTCTCTTGGAAGGTAAAAAGGCGCCCTGGGGACGACAGTGGAGGAGCGCGGGAGAATGGGCACTCGACCCCAGTTTTTGTTCGGCAAGGTCTCTTTTCTCCTTCCTGCTCGAACATCATAGAAAAAGTAAGAGAACGGCCCTAATTTTATACGTAAACAAACTCATCGCAATTTTTCTTGTTCGGCTTTGCGCAGGTCAAGTCCACACAAGTCTTCATCCGGGACAGTAGCATGGTTCACCCGGTAGCTTTAATATGCTTTTCTGGAAAGGACGTGCGTGAAATGCATCATGGTATGTATGGGTACTTTGGTAACATCACCTTAGAGTCTGTGGTAGTAAGACACCTAATAATAGTTCATGCACAAAAACGCCTTTACTTTCCATGTTAAGGTGATTCCTTACTTTTGTATTGCGCATCCTTACTGCGAATGATTTATGGCGTCATTAGNTTTTTTTCCAGTCATTTTAATCAACTAATCATTTAGCTTTGCGTGAGAAAAGACTGATCTGATTTCTATTGTTGAAAATTGAATAAATAAGGGGATGTAGGGGAGAAATTAACTTTTCCTTGATTGTGTTCCAGGTCCCACACCTTCAGCCCCACAACCTTTCGTTACTTTGGCTGTGGATGGAGACCGCTGGATGGCATTCCACTGCTCACCAAGACTGGCTCGAGTACTGCAGGCCATCAGGGGAGAGATCAACAAGATGATAGCCTGCAGTATATCAGCGGCGTCGAGAAATAACACGCTATTTCACTACCACAGCAAGTTAATCGAGACTATAAACTTACTGCTTACCTTGCCTGTTCAACAGCCTCTACCCACAACTCCCTGGTAGCACCGCCATGACTGACCTTCGAGAAACACAAAACTTTTGACAGTTTAGTCTCGCGGTGTGCGTTGTTGAGAACGCTCGAATGCGCGCATGTTTTTGGTTTTAATCGGCGTACAAAATGTATTTGGAAATAGTAAAACGCAGAACTAGGAAATTATTCATCAGTGTGGTTTTACGAATCAGGACACTGGTACAAGAAAAGATTGTTATACGGCCAGAAATACGACAATATAAGACATATAAGCTCTTAGGCGTCTTGCAGGTGCCAACTTAGTACACTAAGCTAATGCCCCGACTCACAGGAAGTCACTGAGCTGGAGATTATGAAAGCTAGCTAACCTGTAGAAACCTCAATCTGTGGTTAACACTGAAAAAATAAAAATTAAGAATACGAATTTTGACCCTCCAGCCTCGTTTTCCAATTCCTGACATCAGTAAAGATATTTAGAAAGTGTTTTAATTGTAGTGTTTGACTTTCCTTGACCGGGAAACTTAACCCTTCAACTGCCAAGAGTGAGTCTTTCTTGCTCTTTAAAAGAGATATCTACCTGGTAATGAATAGTATTAGATTTCACTGATGACCTCAACAAGCACAAGAAAAACGCGCGGTTCCTTCCTCTCAGTTTTCTCTGCGATAACGCATCGCCTTTTGCGTGCTCCATATAAACAATAGCCTCCATTAGGGGCAAAAAAAATGCTCTGATCCATACCTGCCCACTAGGTAAGGGGGAAATTCAGCCTAGGTCGAGTAGCAAATTCGTCCTGTCACCACAGTCTTGCTGCATGTCATAAGAGGATGGCATAATTTGTGAACCATAAAGCCAGGCTCTTAATATTTTCAGAGGCAGACGTAAGGGGGGTGGATTGTGTTAGCTACCCCCTTTGGAGAAGTAAAAAATTAGAATGAAAAAATAAAATGATTGTGAGTATTAAGGGAGGACAAACACTGTGGTCAGGTACCTCATTGTTATTTCTACTTTGTGGCATGACTAGTATTTCTAATGTAACAGTTTTCAATAAGATTCCAATTCTCAAATTGCAACATAATTAGTTTTCAAATTTTGGTTTCCCGTATGAACGAACGTTTGCACGAAAAAGTATCGTGTTACAAGGAGCATCATGTCGCTAACGTTTTTAAAATGGCAATAAAACAAAGAAAAACATGAGAACGTCTGGTGTTTCAGCGTCTTCGTGAAATTACATAAAGCAGGTAAACTCTTAAAAATCATTATACTGTCATTTGATTCTCCCTATAGATCGTTTTCACTGTCACGCAATAAAAAATAAATCGAAAACCAGGATAAAGTCAAGATATTGTGATCTTATAGGAAACAGATAGAGAAGACACTTCTCCAAGTTTTAGGTTTGTGCGTTTTCCCAGACTGCAGATATTTGTCGAAATGTTTCGCAGAAATTTACAGAGTCCAGTTTGGAAACGCCATGTTGGTGCACCTCTGTGGTGCACCAATATGGCGGCCGGAAAATAGTGTAAACATCTGGAACTTACTTTGGTTGTCTAGGCGACTGATTATCTGTACTGAACAAGCAAACATTTATACAAGCACTTTTCCGAATAATCTAACTTCTAAAAAAAGCTAAAAATCATGAGAGAGGTATATATTTTCCGACAAATGCGATTGTAGCTTTGTGTCACGCACCGCCATAACTCTGAAATTCAAAGTACGTAGGTTTCAAACGAAGCTCACGATTGAGCTGTAGCATTGTAAACAGATGTAAGTTTACCCCTCTTATGCCTGATGGGGATAAAAACTTTGGTGGCTCTTTAGTTTTCGATTTTAGAAAATGGTGACGTAACATGAAAACGATCTATAAATTAAACTGCTCGGTCCTTTTCTTTTCGCCAGCTGCTCGCGCGTTTACCGCGGTTCAACTGCGCTGGTTTCGTGAATTTCGCGTTCGCTGTGCTCAAGATAAATTCACTGCCCATAGACTGTACCATTATATGGCGTATAAGCTAAGATATGATAGTCTGTATGTGTATTTCCAGCTTCAAAATTGGACAAGTACAATCCCTTTCACTTTCTTCAGGAAAATTTCCTGAGAGTACCTATAATTTTCACTGAATAGAAATAAATAGGGTAAGTTACACACAGCTACACCTCGCCGACGTTTTTTGGTCTTTCTTGGATCCCAAATTGCCAACTTCTTTGAACAATCTAGCCTGGCAGGCAGATCTACATATGACGATTTCAGTTCTAGATAATCGTGACAACTCTGCATACAGGCGTTGCGTGACTATAGATACGATTTGAAAAACACCTTGAGCCATCTTGTATCTCGCTTTAGAAAGAATTTTCTGAGAACTACACTTTCCTTTCTTTAATTTAAGGTACTTTCTTTCAGACTGCGCTTGCAATGTGCCACTTTTTATTGAATTTTAAATTTGAAATGTTGACAGATGTGATGAGCTCCTGCAGGTCTCCGGCTGTAAATTAAATTCGTTGCGTGGCAACACAATAAATAAGTGTACACGCGCGCACTGATTGAAATGCGCGCTTGTGATGCAATGACTAGTAAACTCTGGGCTCTATTTGTGTTGTTGCGATGAGGTTGACATTTGCAACACATCTCGATTTCGTTTGCTGATGGCTTACAGTTGTTCTCTGTTCAAGATCCGAGAAGTATGACACAGTAGCTTCTCGAAAATCGCAATAGTATGGATTTTAACTGATAAACAATCGTTCGATCTGCCGGCGAAATTACACGGTGTATTTTAATTTGCCTTAAACGTTAGAGACGATTTCCTATTCTGTCTATCACCGGTCATGTTGGAATTAATCATCGACAAGGATTTATTCTCGTAGCTTTTCAATCACAACT